CTTTGCTCCCCTTTTCTTGCCAACATCTGTACTCTCCCCTGGAAGAGCTCATCTATTCTCTCAGTTTTCAAAACCAACGAGGTGCTGATGACGACCAAGTTTAGATCATTTTACTCAGTGAATGCTGAGTGCATATGACAAGATAAGGCTTCTCAATACAGTAAATTTTTGCTGTCTCAGAAAGTGATAATAGTACCATATTCTAATCCTGGAAAAGCAAAGTAACAGAAGTCAACCCTTACATGCACATTTACCTGTGTATACGTAAGGACACACCTACATATGTGGAAGACATGCATGCACATATCTAACTATACATACATAATACACTCAGTGAACAACAAATAAAGAAAAAAATGAAAAAGGAGGCTATTGCCAGGGAAGCTAGACAAAGGGAGAGACATGAAAACTTAATGGGAGGATAGAACCCCAACAGGCAAGATCAGACAAATTGTGTATTTTTTCCACAGACACTTCACAAAATAACTCTAAATAATTCTATTTGCAATTATATTTTTATTCTGATAAACTATACATAACATAGAGTTTATCATTTTAACAATTTTTTTGAGAGAGAGATTTTTGCTATAAAGTGTGTGCACTCACCAGAGAGACAGAAAGTGAGAAATCAACCCCCCCCCCGCCCAGGAGGGATGGCCACACCACAACTCTTCCTCCTCCATACGCATGCACCCAGTTTAGGCTGCCAGGTCTAGGACTTGAACCATGATCGACTACACGGGAGTCTAGCAACATAACCATTACACCATCTACTGGCCCCCATTTTAAGAATTTCTAAGTGTACAGTTGAGCACATTAAGAGTATCCACATCATTGTACAACCATCATCACCATTCACCTCCAGAACTTTTTCCTTACCTCTACTGACTTTAAAGTCTCACCCATTAGACAGTAATTTCCCATTTCTCCCTTACTCCAAAGCTCCTGGAAACCCATTTGACTATCTGCCTTATAAATGTGACTACTCTAGGTACCTCATCTAAGCGGGCACATACAACATTTGCCCTCTTGAGACTAGCTTATTCCATGTGGCATGATGTCCTTATGGTTCATCCATGTTGTAGAATGTCTTTTCTAGGCTGAATATTTCATTACAGATGTACACACACACACACTACGTTTTGTTTATCCATTTTTTTCTGTCAATGAGCAAATGGTTGCTTTCAGCTTCTGACTATTGGAAATAATTCTGCCACTAATATAGGTGTAGAATTATCTGCTGAAGTTCCTGCTTTCCTTTTTTCGTTTTAACCACAACAGAATATGTGCTCATCAGAGACAGAGACAGGGATGAGGGGTGGGTACTCCCTGGTGGGACATGGTCACATTGCAATCTCTTTGTCTCTATTTCTCTATCCTGTTGGGATTCTAGGTATGCATGTATGCCTGCCTGAATGTTTTTCAAGGTGCCAGCATTGGGATTCAAATTGCATTCAGCCATGTATGATTTGGCTCCCTTAGCCACTAGGTTATGGGTCTGGCTCAACAGAAGTGAAATTGCTAGTTCAAATGGTAGTTCTATGTTTAAGTTTTTGCGGAACTGACATATGGTTTTCCACAGTGGTGACACATTTTACATTCCCAAAAGCAATGTACAAGAGTTCAAATTTCTCTAAATCCACAATAATATTTATTTCTATTCATTGCTTTGTTCTGTTAATAGACATACCGATGGGTATGAAGTGGTATCTCATTATGGCTTTCAGTTGAATTTTCCCTAATGGTTACTGACGCCGAGCATCTTTTCATGTATGTACTGGCCATTTGCGTGCATTTGGAGAAATGTTTATTCCCACCCTGTGCCCATTTTTTGAATGGTGTTATTTCTGTTTTTATTGAGTTTTAGGTGTTCTTTACATAATCTGCAATATTAATTATTACTTTTTTTTAAGAGATCTTTGCCTTAGGGCACATGCACTCACTGGAGAAAGACATTATGAGAGGGAAAGTGAGAAATCATCCTCGAAAGAGGATGGTCATGCCACAATCCCTCCTCCTCCATTCTCCAACCAGGATTTTGCACACACACATGCCCAGCATGATTTTTCAAACCACCAGGTCAAGGACCTGAACCGTGGTTAACCATGTGGGAGTCCAGCAACATAACTGCTATGCCATCTGTTGGTCCCTAAATGTTACTATTTTAGAGTATACTAACAAGCCAGTTATTGTTTAAATGAAACTTAACATACCACAGGAAAGCTACAGACTAAATTACTTCAAATGGCCCATTTATGACTAAGAGCACTCTGAAGAGATCATCTTTTTAGGTGTCAGTTCTAAAATCAAATTTCACCAGTTCTCCCAAGATCAACCTGTCACCAGTCCTCCAAAAGCATTCGCTCTTATTTCTCTACAAAGCTCCCATGGGTACATTTTTTAAAATGTGTTTCATTTGTAACTGATAAAAAGCACAAAACAAATATCTAAAATTCACTTGATTCGCATAAAATATCCAAAAATATCCCCACCTGTCCAAGTTTTAGAGCCCCTGTGATGCACACCTTCAGGCAACACCATTCCACCCCAGCCTATCTAAATGAAGCTCGTGGAGCACAGCGGAGCAGACTGTCCAAGGAGCAGCGGGACGGGAGGTTATGTAATGCTGCGGTCCTAATGGCAGTCAGGTGCTGAGAGATGCCATGTCTTCTTTCATTATTACTACCTCTAATGTAACTTTAAAGTTAACATAGGCACAGATTAAAATGATAAAAGTATACTTTTATTATTCCATTCAATGATTTGCTAAAACTCCAAATGACCTATTCATTCTTACTCCATTCAACCATCTAACCTATTTTCCAAATGATAGTTCTATCCTTACTTTCCTAGCTAGATATGTTGTCCCTATCTCCCCAACACCCAATCTCCCTTCTGATAATACCTCTGCTTCCCACTGGGCAATCACCCTCCCAGCTCTCAGTCCCTGAGGTTCAGGTATGAGTGAGCGCATCCCTGGGATGAGGACGTGATCTAACATGGAGCAATCACACGCACATGACTGGATCAGGTGGTACAGGACCCATCTTATATAGAGAGTAAGGTTCAGCCCTAGGACTCTTACTGGAATCTTCAGAAAAGGGCATTTTTATGACTGCTAAGCCTAGACTATTGCTGGCCAACTCTGCCATCTCATAAGAAAGGCCAAGCAGAAAGTGACGTTTATACACGCACAGGCAGGTCACAGAGACTTTAGATGCTGCTGATGGTATCTGAAGCCCTGGATATAGCAATATCTTATATATCAGGTCAGTACATGAATCTAGAAATTCAGAGAATAAATTCTTTAAAAAAAAAATCCCAGGTAGCTTCTTACTCACAAGTCCTAGCTACTATTATGATGTATGATTTTTACATACAATGGTAAGGTTGTCCAGAAAGTTTTTTGCACAGAAAAATATGTCATGACTTTCCTGACAATCCAAAAGTTTTATCCCCGTATCATTTAATTCTATTATCTACGATAACTTTGATAACTCCATGAGGCCTTTCTGCATCAGATTTAGATATGCATTATAAAAAGTCTATAGTGACCAATATATTAATACCAAATTTCAAACCTGTCCCCAAGTAAATACTCATTAGGAACATATGCTCTTAGAAAAAAAAGAAAATGTAAAATTGATACCAGTATTAACAAATTAACAGCTCTACCAACTAGAATGTAAACATGCTTACAAAAAAGGAATAAATCCATTTTATTAAAGCTAGAGAAACAAAATACCCTACCTATACCAAAGAAGAAACTATACAAACAAAATTATTAAAATTTATAGACTAGGAGTACAGAAAAGTCGAGCTATGGGGAGACTGAACATAAAGGAAATGCAACCTCCAATAGAAATTTTATCCATTAAATTTTTTCCCATGGCACGAAATATCTATTCCCACATTTAAAGTGTATGTAAACGTACACCCATATTAATTGCCTGGCACTATTGTAACAAAGCACCTCAAATGTAGTGGCTTAAAATAACATAAGTGTATTCCTTCATCTTTCTGGAGGCCAGCAGTCTGAGATCAGGAGCGCCAGGCCAAGGCAAGATGTCGGCAGGCCCACGTTCCTTCAAGGGCTCCAGGGGAGAATCCTGGAAGCCTCTTCCCTGTTTGTACAACTGCAGGCATTTCTGAGTTCTCAGCTGTATCACTCCTCCACTGCTCTGGGGTCACAGTGCCTTTTCTTTCCTGTGTATGTGAAACACCTCCACAGCCTCTCTCTTTTACGAGGATACTTACGGTTACATTTAGAGACCTCACAGAAAACCCAAAACAGTCTATCTGGAAAGTCTTAACTTAAGCACGCCGGCAAAGGCATTGCCATATCAGGTAAAATTATAGGTTCTAGGGATTACGATGAGGATATCTGTTATGTGGCCTCCCTTAATACCAAAAGTCATTTCAACAGCTATCATGTAATACTGCCAGGAAGGCTAAGAGCCTGAACGCTATATGCATTTTATATTCTCAAATTAAAGTTTTTAGGGGCCGGCAGGTTGTGTGGTGGTTAAAGTGCTGGACTGCCACATGGTCGACTGTGGTTCAAGTCCTAGACTGGGCAGCTTGCCTTCTCTCTCTCTCTTTCTCTTTCTCTCTCTCTCTCTCTCTCTCTGGTCAAAGTGAATAACAGTATAAATAAATAATTTTTTTTAAATTAAACTTTTAACAGTGCTCTCTCTTCATAAGAACACCAATCTATTCAGTTGTTGGAAAAGCCATGATGCATTTTTGCATAGAGAAAATACTATTTTTTGCAAAGTATTTTTTCTATGCAAAAAATGCATCTTGACTTTTCTGACAACCCACTGGAAAGCTCTAATTCTGTCATATTTACAATAAAAAGGGCTCACGAAGACTATGATAAGAAAATGTTTAGTAAGTACAGCCCAAGAAAGAACAAATTTAAAATATTATTCCTTCAAGAATTACTGGCATGACAATACATTTTTATTCCAGGTTTAAAAATCAGTCTAAGACTGTACCTCCAGATCCTAACTGCTTGTAGAATCTGTACTCCAAGTGTAGCTGTGGTGCTCTGGACTTCATGGGCTCCTAAAACACAAAAACAACAACAAAAACTAAGTTTTAAGTTGTTAAAAGACCACTACATCCCAGTTACAAATACTGTAAATTCTGGTGTCGACTCTCATATAATGCAATATTCTAGACACCACTGTCGAAGGTGAGATCCAAATATGTTCAATATAAAATAAACGGATTCTATAAATGTACAAAAGGTTAAGCATCTTCATTAGATCAAGCATTAAGGCAATCTCTCATGTTTGACTGTTTGACCCTGAAGAAGAATTATGCTCTGAATATTCACAACTAGGGAAATGGTGGCCCTTTTACCCTATTTCTCTCGTTCTCGGGAATTTATCACTGAACTGATATAAGGGTTCTAGATTAATGTAAAGTCACAGAAAAGAAAGAAATAGCAAAGTTGGTGATTTTTTTTTTTTTTTTTTTTTTAGATTTTTGCCATAGGGTGTATACTTTCGCCAGAGAGGAGAGAGAGAGTGAGGGAAAGTGAGAAAACACTCTCCCAAAGGGGTGTCCACACCACAACCCCTTCTCCTCTATCATCCCCTCGGCATTTTGAGCAAGCATGCACACATATCCAGCACGATCTTCAAGCCATCGCATCCAGCACTCAAACACAGTCGACCATGTGGGAATCCAGCCACCTTAAACACCACACCACCTGCTAGCCCCAGTGATACAGAAATTTTGACAGCAGCAATGTCTTTTTAAATTTTTAAATTTTAGTGTAATTTACAGGTAACACAGTTCTTAAATGCTGAACCTGTGAGCTGTGAGCTATGTCTATTCCAGCAACCACTACCAATCCATAGGACATGCCCACCCTCCCCTTGGATTCCTTTGGCCTGTTTTCAGATTTTGACACTGTATGGCCTATGCTTTGTATGTCGGTGTCTGGCTTGATTATCCAATATAACGTTTCTGAGATTCATTCACGCATACATATACACGCACACACACACACGATGTGAACAAAAGTAACACAGATTTTAGATTCTTGAAATAATATTTAATGTGATATTATCTACAAGAAACACAAGTATAAAAGGTAACAATACGAAATTTAAACAGAACCAGTAGGAAAGTTTAACAAAATAACTGAAAATGTCAAAAAGAACCAAAGGAAATTTGAAAAAAAGATTTTTTTTTTAAACTAAGCTAAATTAAAAATTCAGTTTGTCTACAGATTAACATGGCAGAAGAGAGATTGGGGAAACTGAAAAGGAGACAGAAAAATTACATAATCCATCACAAAGGGGGAGAAAGACGAGAAAATATAGAAGATTAGAGGATACAGTGAGAAGGTCTAATATATATTGAGTAATAGTCTCGGGAGGAGAAAATAAAAGTGAAAAAGGGGAATAATGAAGTAAGTAATTGCTACAAATATTTAAGAATTGATGAGAACCAACCACAGAATCAGGAGGAATATAAATCCCAAACCAGATAACTAAAAAGAAATTTATACCAAGACACATCACACTAAAACTATGACCAACAACAAAGACAATGGGTAAGACACTATTAAAATCCTACTAGAGGGCCAGCAGGTGGCATAGAGGCTGGGGCAGCGGGATTCTACATGGCTGACTACAAAGTTCAAGTCCCAGATCTGGAGGCTTGTAAAATCACACCAGGTGCTATGCGTGCCTGCCCAAAATCCCAAGAGGAGAATGGATGAGAAGGGAATGCAGCATGGACACACACACACACACACACACACACACACACACATACACACAAACATGTCATTCCTCTTTTTCCCTCTCTTTATCGCTCTCTAGCGAATGCACGCACCCTATGGCAAAAACACACATACATAAAACACACTGGAAAACTTACGAAGATTATTATAAGAGTAAATAACCGGCTTGGTTGTTGAGGGGCAGAACAGTATAGCAGTCAAGAGCACACACGGAAATTAAACTGTTGGATTTGAATCCTGAATCCACTACTTAGTAGACACACAACCTCTGACAAATTACTCAACCTCTCTGTACTTTTCAGTTACGGTTAAAACTTTGCCTTTGTCATAATATATGTAACCACCTGAAAGAGTGCTTTCTAGGAGGTGCTATGTTACCTATAATTGTTCAGTGACTATCAAGGAGAGCAAAATTGTAAGAAGTAACAAAAAGATGCCCACCTATGCAGTCACATATGAAATTAAATGTTTAACGTATTCAATGACTGATACCCCCCAGGTAAACTCAGAAACGCCACGCTGACTTACATGAGTCATTTCACCTTGATTCCAATACTTCACTAGCACTAAAACTTCATTGTATCACCATATAACGAGAGTCATCTCACCACAGGACGGCATTTTCATTATTGGTAGTCATGTTCTCAGAATCACCCCAAAAATATATTATGAGAATAGAAAAATTGTACATAAATTGTTAGACTGGAGTTTGATACTTAGTCAATCACAAAACACTGGAGACAAAAAATCCCCAATTCTGCCAAACACTGAATAATCATAATTACTATATGTAGTGCTAATCACCATGTGTTAAAAAAGAACAAATTAGGGAGCCAGTAGATGGCATGGTGGTTAAGGCACTAGACATCCACATGGCCAACCATGGGTCAACTCCCAGAACTGGCAGCTTAAAAATCACGCCTGGCCCATGTACATGCATGCCCAAAATCCCAAGAGGAGAATGCAAGAGAAAGGACCACAGTGTGACCATCCCCTGAGGATGGTATCTCATTTCTCCCCATCCCTCCAGCAAGTGCATGCACTCTATGACAAAAACCTAAAAAAATAAAATATATATATAAAAGAACAAATTATGGTTTTAAAAAAGTGTCTTTAAAAAAGAAGAAGAAAAAGAAGGGGAAACATAGGTAGGAGGCTAATGATATGGCACGAAACCAAAGAAAGAAATTATGGCATTGAAAAAGTGTCTTTAAAAAAAAAGAAGAAGAAAAAGAAGGGGAAACATAGGTAGGAGGCTAATGATATGGCACGAAACCAAAGAAAGTAACGTATGTATGCATACAGAGAAATTTAATAGATATAATCAATGTAGGAAGGGATCAATGGTACAGACAGAGTAAACAAGTTCTTTTTTTTTTTTTGGAGAGGTTTTTGCTATAGGGTGCGTGCCTTCACCAGAAAGACAGAGACAGAAAGCAAGAAATCACCCCCCAGAAGGGATGGCCATGCCGCAATCCCTTCTCCTCCATTCTCCTCTCGGGATCTTGGGTGCACATGCACACACACCCGGTGTGAGTTTAAGCTACCAGGTCCAAGACTTGAACCGTGGTCAGCTACATGGGAGTCCAGTGACAAAGCCATTACGCCAAGCACTGGTCCCTAGAGTAAACAAGTTCTAAACCTGCAAATGATAGGACCCAAGAGTCACGACTGAAATGTGACATGGAAACATGCCTGAGACAGGGAAAGGTCATCCTACAGCAGAGGCGCCTGCTCTGACACACAGCTTATGCGCCTTAACATATGAAGGACACAGGAACACGTATCTTTCACGGGCACGCCATGCTCCCGTGAGTGCAGCAACTCACTACAGATTGCTGATCGAAAACACAGAAGATGGACACTGCCACACTTTTACCTCCAATGTCACATGCCCCACACCTAAACACTGTCGAGATTCAAAACCATTGGCCTAGGGTCAGCCAGGGGCGTGGTGGCTAAGGTACTAGACTCCCACATGGGCAGCCTTGGTTTGAGACCCAGACCTGGTGGCCTAGAACATGGGATAAGGAAGAATGCCAAAGAAAAGAAAGTCAGCCAAGCCCACTGAAACACTATCTGGTCCCTACAGCCTTGCTCCGTACTATCCTGATTTTTATTTCACGCTAATGAGGTGACCCTGCATTTTTAACTTCGTTTCCTATGTAGAACGACCTACAGAAAAAAAATCACAATATTTATACTTATTTGGGTATTTTGATCCTGCAATAGTGAAATACCTCATTATAAATTAGGGAGACCAGCAGTTAGTGTAACGGCTATGTCGCTGGACTCCCATGCAGTCGACCATGGTTCACGTCCCAGACCTGGTAGCTTAAAACTCACGCCAGGTGTGTGTGCGTGCGTGCCCAAGATCCTGAGAGGAGAATGGATGAGAAGGGACTGCGATGTGGCCATCCCCCCGGGGAGGTGATTTCTCACTTTCTGTCTCTCTGTCTCTCTCTGTCTGGCTGCCGAGAGCACGCACCCTATCGCAAAAACCTCTCAAAAAAAAAAATAATTAGAAATTAACTCTTTGTTAAATATTTACATTTTTGAGAGGTGGATTATGTGAACTGATTACTACATCTGACGACTGTGAATCCACTCTAAGAAACAGAAACAATCTTAGATGCCTAACCAGTGACTGTATCCTAAAGACAAGGTCCTGAGCAAAGTGAACTCGTCTGAGTACATGACAGTCCAAAGCCACATGTCAGTCAGCCAGTATCTCCTGAAACCACCACACCCCAGCATGCATCAGATTTCCCAGTGAAAATAACAGCATTTGTTAAAGTAACACTTGATCTATACTCACAATGAGACTCAAAAGTAAGTAGTAGAGCTTTTTAATTTCAGTCAAAACTTTCCTATTTCCCCCCACATCTCTTTCTCTAATAGTCTCTTTTATATATTCACATTTGCATATAACAGAGGTGATACTACAGGGACAAGTTTGATAACGGTGGGAAAACTGGGAAAAGCAACCCATGCTAAATCTGAGGTACATTTGGCTGGCAAACCATACAGACAGAGCTAGGGGGCCATCCCCACAGCAGGGTGGTTAAGAGACCCAGATCTCACATGGCCAACCAGTTTGCATACCACCCCAGTGTCCTGAAAACATGCCAGGTGTATGTATGCATGTGCTGAAAACCCTGATGGAAAGGAGGAATGGAAGAGGATGGACTGCGGTGTGACCATGCTCCATGGGGAGAGGAGGGTGCTTTCTTTCTCTGTCTCTTTCTGGCAAGCAAGTGCACCTTCTGGCAATTAAAAATAAAAAAGAAAGAAAGACAAGACAAGACAAAGTTGCACTATGTCTTGTGAAAATAAATGCTAGCTCCCAATTCTTTTCTGCCTTACAGTTATTCCACTGGATACCTTTAAGACTCTAGAATAGGCCAGCCTTCTAGCCCAGTGGGTAAAGAAAGCTGGATCCTTCATGGCCCACTCCAGTTCAAATTCTTGAAAATCACATCTCGTGCAAGCGTTGGGTGCCCCAAATACCCACAGAGTGGAGAAATGGAGGAAAAGGGACTGGGGCATGAGCATGCACCACTGGAGGTGGGGAAGAGAGTGCATTCTACCTTTCCCTGTCTCTGTCTCCCCTTGGTGAGTGCAGGGGCCCTCTAGCATCTCTCTTTTTTTTTTTTTTTTTTTTAAGTTTCTTGCTATAGGATGCATGCACGCACCAGAGAGAGAGAAAATAAAAAAGCCAACCCTTGGGGAGAATGGCCACACTGCAATCCCTTTTCCTCCATTCTCCTCTCAGAAATATGGCCACACACACACATACTTTCAGCAGGTTTTACCAAGCCACTGGGTCCGGGACTTAAACCATACAGTCAGCCACATGAAATTCAGCCACCTCAGTGTATCCAGCCACCTCAACCACCACACCACCATCTGGCCCACCCTCTTGCAACATAAAGGGGAAAAAAAATCTTGCTTCCTTAAATTAAAAAATTGTGCCAAAACTCAAAAATTAATTCTATGATTGCTACGGCCAGAGAAAAGGATCTGAGATTTTGTGGCACAGAAAAACATAGGTGGTCTACATATTATCATATGCTTTTAAAAAGGCATGATGATGTTAGCAGGCTAGTAACGAAAGATCAGCTATGCACATAACTTTTCTGCCCAAGTTATAAATGATATGGAAATAAAACAGTTCAATGCAAGTTAATAATTAAAGAAGTAACAAGGAAATAATTATGAAAAAATAAGAAACATGAACTTACCAGTTTTATTGCCACATATTCATTCGTGTACAAATTTTTCCCTTGAAAAACAAAGAAAAAGAAATCTCAGACTTTGCCAAGAAATATTATTTAAGGATACATACAATTGTATGCTGGAAAACACACATAATATAAATGAAGTATACTCGGTCCGAAAAACTGAGTAACAAGGAAATATTTAACCTTATGATCAACGCAAAGCTATATTTAGTATTTTATCTGAATTCAGACTAGAAAGTGATACTAATAAACACTTCAGCCCAACTTACAAAAATGGAAAGATTCTACTTTTGTTGAAATACTGTATACAGTTTAGAAAGCAATCGGCTCTCAAATAAATGATAACAATGTTTCAGAACCAGAACTGGTATATAAAACGAGAAACACAAAGTTCTTCTGCCAACCACCATCTCATTTCAGACTCTTCACCACTATGGCATGGCCATACTCCCATATAAGTAATCTTACAGGGTAATGCTGTAGTGTGAGTATGTCACCCAAATACTCAAGTATTGAGCTATTGTAACAGAACTGACAGGGCTAAAACCTTGATCCCAATTACCATCGTGAAGGATGGGGCCTTTGGAGGAGACTAGTAATTAGGTGGTTAGAGCAGGGTTCCCACGATTGAGTACTGGTAAGTTTTAAAGGAGAGGATATGAGGCAGACAGGCCCACAGAGAAAGAGACCAGATTCTCTCTCTGCACACACTGACCACTCTCTTTGCTTCTGTCAGTCACGTTGTGACACAGCCAGCCTGGGCCAGTCGCAGGCCACTGGACTTCCCAGACACCTGAATCATGAATCAAATAAACCTCTCTTCTTTATAAATCACCCAGTCTCAGGTATTTCGGAAAGCAACGCAGTAAAGGACTAATACAGGCCCATATTTTATGGACTATATTAAAAGTGAGATAAATTAGGAAAACTTTTATTCAGTAATTGGCTCTGAAAAACTAGTTAACCACTTAGAGAAGAAAAACAGGTATTAGTGCCTCACTTGAAGACCAAATTAATTCCAAATATTTTAAGAGTTGAATACAGGCTGTAAAACAAGAAAAAAATATTTATCAGCTCCATATATAGAGTCTTTTCTTTTTTCAGAGTTTTTTTTGCTATAGGGCGCATGCGCTCACCGTAAAGACAGAGACAGAGAAACAAAGTGAGAAATCACCCCCCCAGGGGGGATGGTCACACCGCAATCCCTTCTCCTCTCGGGACCTTGGGCACACATGCACACATGCCTGGCGTGAATTTAAGCCACCGGGTCCAGGACTTGAACCGCAGTCGACTACATGGAGTCCAGCGACATAGCCATTACACTAACTGCTGGAGTCTTTTTCAAGCATAAGAAAATCTCAAGATCAGAAAGTTCTAAAAATATTCTAGGCCCAGCCCCTGGCCTGATGGTTAAAGGGACATCTCATATGGTTGACACCACAGTTTGAATATCAGCCCTGAGAGATTGAAATGTATAAGTCCCTGGCCTGATGGTTAAAGGGACATCTCACATGGTTGACACCACAGTTTGAATATCAGCTCTGAGAGCTTGAAATGTATATCCAGGCATGTGCGTGTGCATGCCTAAAATTCCAATACGACGGAAGATATGAAATGTATATCCAGACATGTGTGTGTGCACGCCTAAAATTCCAATGCGATGGATGAAGAAGGGACTTCAGGGTGGCCACACCCCACTGAGGGGTGCTTTCTCCCTTTTCCCCCCCTTTATCTGGCAAGAACAGCACCCTCTAAAAACTAAAAGGTAAATAAATGAACTAAGAAAGATTTTAAATTTTTTATGTTGAAAACATCTACCAAGAATGCAAAAATAACAAACTGGAATTAAGATTTAATATCATCAACGTACAAAGTATTCAAATGAATTACAGCAATCTCTGGCACTGATGAATCAAAAATAACTCAGAACATTTCAATAGGTCAACATCTGCACACCAAGTCGAACACTAAGGAATATTTTGGAAGCAATGAGTATATGAAGACGCTCTGATGTAAATTAAATGTGTATCTTTACAACTACATTAAATAGAAATTAAAAAAAAAATAGTACATGTAATTTCTAAATTTCGAATATTTTCTCAATTAGGATATATTACACTGTAATGAGTAAAATGTAACAGTGATAGGGTTTCTTGTTTACTGTGAGAGTGACTGGCCCGATCACACAGACCAGGCACTCATCGACGTTCACACATGTCATTTTCCAGAACGATACTCCTAACTTCCCTTCCCATGGCAGCTGACGAATCACAGTCAAACTTCGGGCCAAACCTCAGCCTCAGAGGACTGTCACCGCTGCACAGCAGTGTTTACTCATACAAACAGTATAATACTTTTTTGAATTGGTCCTTAATGTACAAAAATGAGTAAAAACAAAAAGAAAATAAACACAAGCCTTCATACTGACGCTAAGTAGCACAGATCGCATGAGCGCGAATTGGTTGGCACAAAGTTGGAACTCAACCCAAGTACCGAAAGTGAACTTCGTTAAGCTCTAGGCAAGTTACTCGTTCAATCTGAACAAAACCAGAGCACATGTCATATTCTCAGTCAATTAGTTTGGCGTTTAGTGTGCCTTCATGGGCCTTTCCCTATCCGAGGGTAGCGTGCATGGAAAAGCGTTTTCGGTCAATGCGTTGTGCGTGAACATCAGGATTTCCTCTGGTAAATAGTGAAGAACTTAATGATACTCACAAGGGGGAACATGATGTTGAAGATCTGCTATCTAACAAAGGAACAATTCTGGTTTTGAGTTGAAAGACGGAATTTGTATTTACTCAAGACATTATCATCTTTTCATAAGTACTTCGTATATGATGTTTATTCACAAGTACGCAGGGAAGAAAATTCGCAGGACAAGAAGTTAGATTAAATACAGGTCCCACAGACCCAAAATAAACCAATCTTGCTAAAAGCACTCCTTTTGTCGGTGTTTATATGCCCCAATATCTACTTTTTTGATTGTAGCAGGAAACACTAAATCTTAAAGATCATCTTTCTGTAGAACATTAGAAACTTTGCTTGGGGCCGGCAGGTGGCATGGTGGCTAAGCGTGCTGGGCTCCCACATAGCCGACTGTGATTCGAATCCCAGACCTGGCGGCTTGCTTTCTCTCTCTCTCTTCCCCCCCACCCCCGGCCAAATTAAAAATAAATAAAGTTAAATAAAATAATTCTAAAAAAAAAAAAAAAGAAATTTTGCTGAACCTTGGGTGTCATGATTATAAACCTGCATAAACAGTGGTACAAAGACATGTGTGTCACCCATCATAGTCACAGCTGCAGCCTCACAGAGTTGGTTTTCAATCAGTACCTGTCACACATGTGAAAATACAAAGGGTGTGCAGTGTGTGTGTGCATGGTGTGAAGGAGGGAGGGAGTGTGTACGAGGGGGGGGTCCTGTCAAAGGAAGGCTCCAAGTAACAGGTGCCAGGCCAGGGAAGTGATGTTTTCATTTGATCTCAAGAGCTATTCCAGCAAAGCTGTGTGCCACGCTGAATCGGGAGAGACAGCTTGACAAATGTTGTGGTACAGCAGTGCTAGTTACTCTAAAAAATAATAGTAATAATAAAAAAAAGAGTTCTTCTGAAACTACATACGATAGTCCCCTCCTTATTCAGTTTCTCTTTTGATGGTTTCAGTTACTCACGGTGATCCATGGTCCAAAAATATGTTAGTACAGGATGAGATATTCTGAGATCACTCATGTAACTTATCCCAGAATATTGTTACAATTGTTCCATTTTATTACAAGTCACTGATATCAATCTCTTACTGTGCCTAATTTATAAATTAAATTTTATTACAGACAGTATGTATGGGAAAAACTGTGTGTGTGTGTGTGTGTGTGTGTGTGTGTGTGTAGATAGA